CCCTTGAGGAGCTTAGTTTCCATAGGTCTAGGTTTGAGGCGTTGAGTGGGGCTTCTACAGCACGACATTCACCTTAGGATCTCAGTCGTACTGTAGCAAGTCACACCCAACTTGGAGAGAAAGTCTTTAGGCCTGTAGCCTCGAGGAGCTTTAAGGCTGTGGAGACTAACCTCTGCCTGAGTGCATTACCGTCAGCAGAGTCAGTTAATTTTCTATAGTACAAGCGCCAAATTCATTTCATTTTTATAGTCTGTGGGCTTGTAGACATTTATGAGTTGACAATATGAGTTTATATGTTATATTACGTTAAGTCGAATTTAAGGCCTGGATTTTGGCGACTTAAGAAAATTCAATTTAAGGCTACTTTAAGTCTAGCTCGACTGCTGGTGCAACTAAAATTTAAAGTTAAGTCTCGGCTTAAACATAAGTCTGACTTAAGTTAGTCTTAAAATGTTGGTGCAAGTGGCCATTAGTGTCTCTTATGCCGGTTTTCCACCAAACGGACTGTTGAGTTTTTGTTTTAAAACATGTTTTAAAACTCGAAATTAACCCGAAAAACAAAACTCCAAATGAGCAAAACACGCTGAAAATGTTTGGGAAAGGTTGGAGTTTTGTCTGAGTTTAAGTTTTGTTTTTGTTTTGTCGGTTTGGTGGAAAACCGGCATTAGAGATTAAAAAATCGTAGCTCCGCTATCTTTGGTTTTTTTCCAATCAAATGTTGGTATGTTAAAGGTAAAAGGCTTCTGGATATATTTTAAAAAAAATTAATTCACCAAAGTTTCCCAGATTTCTAGGAAAAAAAAACAAAAATCAGGCCATAATCTGTATTGTAAAAATATTACTGTCTCTCTGAGATTAAAAAATCGTAACTCCGCTATCTTTGGTTTTTTTCCATTCAAATTTTAGTATGTTAGAGCTGAAAAGCTTCTGGATATATAAAAAAAATCTTCATTCTTCAAAGTATCCCGAATCCCAGAAATAAAAATTAAAAATTCAGGCCATAGACTGTAAGGCAAAAATATCACTCAGTCTTTTTTTGGATTGAAAAAATTGTAACTCCGCTATCTTTGATTATTTTCCAATTACATTTGGGTAATTTTAAACTTAAAGGCGTCTGGCTATATAAAAAAAAATATCTTCATTCTCCAAAGTATCTTAGATTTCCAGGAAAAAAATCTAAAATCAGGCCTTAGTCTGTATTGTAAAAATATCACTAGTGTCTCTCTGAAATTAAAAAAATCGTAACTCTGCTATCTTTGTTTTTTTCTAATCAAATTTTATTATGGTAAAGCTAAAAGGCTTCTGGATACATAAAAAAAAATGTTCATTTTCCAAAGTTTCCTAGATTTCTTGGAAAAAAATCAAAAATCAGGCCATAATCTGTATTGTAGAAATATTACTTTGTGTCTCCTTGGGATTAAAAAATCGTTATTCCGCTATCTTTGTTTTTTTTCCAATTAAATTTCAGTATGTTAAAGCTGAAAAGCTTCTGGATACATACAAAAATTCTTCATTCTCAGTATCGCAGATTTCCAGGACAAATATCTAGAATCAGACCAAAGTCTGTATTGGAAAAATATCACTTGTGTCTCTCTGGGAATAAAAAAATCGTAACTCCGCTGTATTTGTTTTTTTTTCTAATCAAATTTTAGTATGTTAAAGCTAAAAGGCTTTTGGATACATGAAAAAAATCTTCATTCTCCAAGGTATCCCAAATTTCCAGAAAAGAAAATAAAAATTCAGGCCATAGACTGTAAGGCAAAAATATCACTTGTTTTTTAGATTACAAATATTGTAACTTCGCTAGCGTTACTTTTTTCCAATCAAATTTCAGTATGTTTTTTTTAAAGTAAAAGGCTAAAAAAAACCTTCATTCTCGAAAGTATCCCAGATTTCCAGGAAAAAATCTAAAATCAGGCTATAGTCTGTATTGTAAAAATATCACAGTGTCTCTCTGGGATTAAAAATTCGTAACTTCGCTTTCTTTGGTTTGTTTTCAATCAAATTTTAATATGTTAGAGCTCAAAAGCTTCAGGATATTTCAAAAAATTCTTCATTTTCCAAAGCTTCCCATATTTCCTGGACAGTAACGCACCCCGGGGGGAACCATCGGGCCAGGGCCTCCTCCCAGGGCCTCCTCCCAGGCCGCCCTTCTAAAACTGTATTATTACGTATAAAAAAATGTGGCAAATTTTGGGCGTAGCACCCTGACGCCTCATTTTTTAAAAATATTTTCTGGGTGCGCTACTGATTTTAAGAACAATTAAGTTAGGAAACTGCTCACACAAACTTCTGAGGTGCATTATATACAGTGTCATTACTTAAGTGTGCAACATATGGGATTTTTTTTTAGTAATAGCACAATCAAAATAAAAACAAGGCCAAAAGTTGGTGCATGTCTGATAATCATATTAGGTGCACTTAGAATGGTTGCAAGTCAAACAGCATACAGGGTAGCTCAAAAAATATCAAAATTGTAGTAATATTTACTTAAATAAAATAAAACTTTTGCACTCTAAGGAGCAGGGACGTAGCGAAGGCTTCTGGTTTGGGGGGGGGTGACACTCCTAATTTTCCCAACTTTATTAAAACATTAAAAAAAATCATATGTAGCATCGTACACGTGTTAAAAAGTAGAACTTCTTAAAAACTATTCCCTCTCTCATACGACTTTTAGACTTAGCGCATGAGTCGGGGTATATAAAGACGAAAGGCTACACAAAAGACAAACGCGCATCTGTAGTGACATCACAAAGATATCGGCGCTTTATAATAATAGGCAATCCCTTCGTTTATAATCTTTGGTTTGTGTCAATCGTTCGTCGGCTGTCATTGTCATTGGCTGTCTTTCTCCGCCTGTCTACGTTATATCTTTCTTCGCTCTCGTCTCTCGTGTGCCGAAATTTCGCAAAACGTGTCATTACGTGTAACGTGACGCGTCTTTCAAATTCTCCATTCTCTCCATTTCCATTCTCGTCCAAATCAGACCGCCGCCTAAGAAGTTTCACTCAAAAAAATCATGTGCAGTATCGTATACGTGTTAAGAAGTGAAACTTTTTAAAAAGTATACCCTCCCTCATATAGCTTTTAGACAGCGTATGAGCCGGGGTGAAAACGAAGGGTCACACAAAAAACCCAAAAGGGAGTCGCACATCTTTAGTGACGTCACAAGGGTATCGGCGCTTAACAATAATAGGCTCTCTGTTTATAGTCCTTGCTTTGTGTGAATCGTTTCTCGTCTGTCATTGTCATTGGCTCGTTTTCTCCATCTCTCTACAGCCTACATTATATCTTCCTTCTATCTCATCTCTCGTGTAACCAAATTTGTCAAAAAGTGACGTTACGTGATGCGTCTTTCAAATCACTCCCCATATTCTCGTCTAAATATCAGACCGCCGCCTAAGAAATTTCACTCCAAAAACTGATAAAATGTTTGACATGTATACATCGTGATTTACGTAACCGGCCTCAAGACAGCCGGCAGGCCTATTTTCTATGAACAGCAATTACATAGCAACCAGCAACCGGTCGCAAGTTGTTTTTTTAGAATAGAAAATTCGCGTTTGACAGCGACAATTTCGCAATTATCTGCGGGCGCAAGTTACAGAATAAGCTGGCCGTGCATTAGAAGTTGTCCAGTTTGCAGGTGGATTAGTAAAAATAGCATCTAAACCACCTGCAAACTAATGTCAGGGGCTACGTAAATCACCCTGTATATTCCAGACCTACAATTAATATAGGTAATCAAATAAAATTAACACTGTATAAAAAACGTGAATGAGAAAAATGTTTCGAGAAACCAAAAACTATTTCTTCAACTCAAGAGCAAAGAATTCAGACTAATTCAGAGTTTTGCTGAAATCTGAATACCGAGCGAAGAATGCGCAGAACGCAAAAGGCAACATAATATAAAAAGTTTGGATTATCTAATATACTATATTGTCCATCACTCTCAAACACGACGCGCTTGCAACAACAAACTATAGATATAACTACGTCGGTCTTGAATAGAGAATAGTGCTAGTGGTGCTAGTGCCACTACTGCCACGAGTGCCACGTGCCACTGCCAAAGGCTAGTGGTCCTAGTGCAGTGCAAAGTGCAACGCAAGAGATCGCCACGACCATTGGGATTTCGTCATCCTGTTGTCCGATGATTTTGCAATTCATTACGACTCGTGACACGATCCCAATGTTAAATGAGGTGCGCAAATTTTTGTCTGCCAATTTTTCCCAACTTTAAATTTTTTATCCAAATTTTCTCAACTTTCGATATATTTGAACCCCCCCCCCCCATGGCTCCGTCCCTTCTAAGGAGAGTTTTTTTAATATGCATATTATCATCAGTAATGTTTTAACTTGTTAAAAAAAAATTGCGACATTTTAAAATTGTGTTAAATATCATTGCAACAAACATGAACTTTGTGATTTCATAAAAAAATAAAAATCTAAGTTAATTTCACAAATATGCTTGAATTTGAACAAAGTTATGTAAAATTGATTTGATTTTAATTAATTTTTGAAAGTATTAAGGGCGGAAATACAAAATAAAAAATATATAGAAAACATTTTAGGAGGCTATGTTTTGGTATTTAGGCATAACTTTTAATTCCAAACAACTTTTCTTTATAACATTTTGCTGAATTTTCTAAAATAAGGGTACTTTACAGTACAATTTTGATATTGTTTGAGCTACCCTGTATACTGTTTGACTTGAAACCATTCTAAGTGCACCTAATATGATTATCAGACATGCACCAACTTTTGGCCTTGTTTGTATTTGGGTTGTGCTATTACTAAAAAAAAATCCCATATGTTGCACACTTGAAAAATCACACTGTATACTCTAGTTCGTTTCAAGAAATCTTTAAATTATGTTAAGTTAATAAATAGGTGAAATAATACTATTATTTTCTATTGCAAAATATATTTACTTTCATTCTAAATGCATTCATCATTTTTTATTGAAATTTTCGTTTACTAAAAAAAAAAAATTCTTGCAGCCTGCCAATGGTAGCGACTCCTGCAGCTGTGTCACCACTGAAGATTGCACATCGGAGCGTGTCCGTTTCGACGACAACGTCAGCTTCATAGCTGCCAACCTAGCTGAAAAAACCAGCATCGGTAGTAGCGGTAGCTTTTTGGCCCGATGCTCGAAAACAACCAAAACGCAAGACACACTCTCCAACGACAGCATCTACATTGATATCGACGACGGTAAAAGTTCACGCAAATTTTCTTCACAGGCCGCTGCTCTGCGCTCGCAATTTTTCTACCCTATCAATGAATTGAAGCCGACGGCCAGCAAAAGTTTGGACGATAAAACTATAATTGAAGTGTCAAATGAGACTCTGGATAAAACAGCTACAACTCCGGTGGTGAAGGAAACCAAAAGCATCGTCATTTGTCAGTTGAGGCCATCGTCTTCCACAGTCAGTTTGGATGAGAAGCTGAAACTGGAAGCCGACTCTGAAAAGAGTTTCTCAAATGAGAGCCTCAATAATATCTCGGTGCCGTTGATTCCAGAATCGCATCATATTGTTATACGTCCTGTTAAAGTGGCCTCAGCGGTTAAACATGAAAGTACAACAGAGCTATAGTTACCCTGTTTATTTGATGGAAGACTGATGCACATACAGGGTGTAACAAAATCATTTTGAAAAATAAACTGTAATTTCAAACTAATTAATGTTGTTCCAAAATATTTAGTGTTTTTCAACACCCTGTGTGCTGAAAAGAAAGTGTTTTCTGACCCATAACTGTAACAGTACTTGAAACCCCATTTCTGCTTATTGCAGTATTATGAATTTTTTAAACAGTATTTTTTACACCCTGTATGTATAATTGTTATAATATAAATATTCGTATTTATTTTTAAGAATTAAAAGTATTGCTTAAACATTATGTTGGGTATTTGTTAATGGCCAAAGCTAAAAACATTGAAAATATGCATGGCCCCAAAAAGTGCTGTTTTATTAATGTCTAGGTTCTATTTGAATATTTATATACGATATTTTTATAATATTTTAAATATTACTTTTTTTTTAAGACTCGATTTTGAAATTTTAACAACTTTAGCGTTAAAATCTACGTTTGAGATCTTTATAAAATTTAATTTTACTGTAATCAACTACCTATCTTAAAGAATCCAAATAAATATAAATGGTAAATGTAATTTGTCTTTTTTTTTTTTAAATGTTTCCAATTTGAAATTCCGCAAAAATTACAGCTGCGCAACGGCAGTCTTAAAGGTGACGGATGACATTCTGAAAGCCTCCGATCGTGGCGATTTGACGGCATTAGTACTCTTGGACTATTCTAAGGGCCTTTGACCGTCTCAACCATAATCGTGTCTTAGGTATACTTCACTATCTGGGATTTGACAATGATTCGAGGCTTTTTGTTATGCCCGTATTACATCTGTGTATTTTTCCGTGTATTTATTCATGTAGTTCAGGCTGCCAACATTATTTTGTTTTTCATAATGCTAATTTATGTTGCGTTTGAAGTTTTTCGGTTGTCACCTTGAACTACATGAATAAATACATGGAGAAATACACAGATGTAATACAGGCATTAGGTCATACCCAATGACATCAAAACACAGATAGACCGAACAATAAACAAAATTTTCGTATGACAACATCTCTCTGTCTCTTTTGGGTCTTTGTGCTATCCCCACCACTGAGAATGCCAAATTTTGTCTTGAAACCCTAAATAATATATTTTTATCCTTTTCTAATTAACGTTTTCAATTTTACTTCTGAACACAATTTGGCAACAGCAGATTGTAGCAGAACACTGCCCAGAAGCGGCTTGTTGAATGGCAGGCAGGTGTTTGTTGGAGTAGCTAGCTATCTTTATCGCAAACAGGGATTATTTATTAGCGTTAAATAAGAAACGACTGATACGATATTGGTACTCCCAGAATAAAGGGCTCGTATCGAATATTTTCAGTTTATTTGTCAATTTGTTATTTTATTTATTCATCCAATTAAATTTCGAGATATATTCACGTGTGGGCGGGGTTTTTTACACCATTTTGAGCAATGATGTCTCCCTACCCCGACCCCGCGAGCAACTCACCTCCCCTGGCCCATGGGTGGTCTTGTCAACACAACAAATAACAGTTTATGAATGGGATGATCCGTCTATCTGTGTTTTGATGTCATTGGTCATACCTCACTGGTCGAAAGCAAGTGGTCAAGCATAGTGGCAGGCTTTCGAGACCTGTGGAGATGACATGTGGTGTGCCTCAGGGTTCTATCCTTGAGCCGCTTTTTTTTCTATCTATACTTCACAACTTATTACATGTCTACAATACTCGACTGTACACTGTTATGCAGATGACATACAATTTTATCGAAACCATTCTGATTCTATGGAGAGGGTTCATTATACATTTTTACGAGTGTGTGCCTTTAGAAACAGTATTAGGATTGTGAACCATGACTATAGCGCCATGGAAATGCAATTAAAATTAGCTACCCTTAGTGAGTGACGGGGCTTGTTTGGTTTAATATTTTTATATAAAATAATTATTGGAATTATTGATTGTCCTACCCTTTTAAGCCATATTAGCCTAAATGTGCCTTATTATCATGGTCTGAGATATCATAATACTTTTAACATTCCTTTTCGTAGAACATCCTATGGTGCTAACAGTCCAATTATCAGATATCTATCTATGTTAAATAATCTTGATATTGACGTTTTTAATGTGAAACTAGCTCAATTTGAAACAATCTGCCATAATTTGATAAATGCACCTTAACTATTTATAACTCTCTGTTCCTATCAAAGCTACTATAATACCTAGTACTAAGTAATTATTTCCTACTTAATGTGCTTTCATAATTTTTTGACTACTTCATAATTTTTAGACTATTTATGATTACTTTACGGATTTTGGTTCATTTTCTTTATTTTTTTAATTTGTATTTATTGTTTTTGCACTCATTTCAAAACCTATTGTAGGCGACATTTTGCTCTATTTATATACATTTATAATTATATAGATTGTTATTTAGGTCTAGTGTTTATGTTTGCCTGGCCTTTGTTAATTATTGTATAATTTCTTCGTTGATGGGGTTATCCCGTGAATAAATAAATAAATAAACTATATCTCTCACTCCAAGCCTGATCAAATAATGATAGACCCGGAGCTGGGACCAAAACCGGAATCTTTCAAAGATAAGTCTTGGCAATCAGGTTTTAGACGCATATGGTGCAGCAAAAAATCTGGGACTGATCATGGACACTGATCTAAGATTCTCGGGGCATATTATTAACTGTATCATGAAGGCTTTTGCCAACCTTAAACTAATATTTAACCAAGACCCCTACTTAATGGGAATCTTAAGAAAGTGTTTTGCGATTCCATTGTCTTTTTGCACTTTAACTACTGCGATGTACTGTACGGTCCCTGCCTGCTGGTTTCCGATGCAAGAAGAATTCAGCTCATGCAGAATTTGTGTGTCAGGTTAATAGGTGGTTTTAGGGGCCTTGAGAGGGCCGTGAGTGCCAAGCTATGCGAAATTAAATGGCTAAGAATGAATGAAAGACGATTCTGTTCAACAAATTGATTTGTAAAAGATGTCCTGATTATCTGTATGATAAAATTAAGCTTCGGTATGATGCACATAACTTGGAGCTCAGACACAAAGGACCCCGCAATATTTAAACGGAAATTGGTTACCCGTGATATTGGGATGAAATTTAAATATGTTATTAGGAATGCCGTAAGCAACATTTTTTACCATGAGCGCAACCTTGTATATATGACAGGTGAGACAGCTGTGAAATATTGGAATATATTCAAAAGCAGGGTAACTATAGCAAATTTTGATAAAGCAAGTATCGATTCCTAATAAGTCGACCAAGGAAAATCAGGTAAGAGTACCTGATTGATAACATGAAAGTTTGTATAGCGCTGACGTCACAGCGACGGTGGAGTCAATAGTGGCAGCCGGAACAAATACTGAAATGGCGGGAATTTTGAAATTTGACTTGAGTTGATTGCACAAAAAACTTACTTATGTTGTTCCACATCTTTTTTTCTCAAATCCGAATGAGAAAAATGATGTGGTACTCCATAAAGTTTTGTGCCATTTTTTGATGTAGATTGAAAAAAAAGGGCAAAATAAACACTAAAATTGTACTAGAAAAAATATATATTATAGCTAGATAGGTCAAATACCTAAAGAGTTTACAAACACAGTTATTACATACCTTATATAGTCTGGCAAGTGGTAACTTGGTAGAGACGAAAGGGGGAAGAAAAGTTGGGCGTAACCTAAGAATATTCACTGACACCTCAACTGACACCATAGACAATAAAAAATAAAAAGACCTTCAAAAGTATAGCCGAAATAGGTTATACTATTACTGCGCATCCGGTTGCGCATAGCGCATTGCGGAATTTTTGGAAAGCTAGAGACATACGAAAGATCAGTCCGATCATTCGATTCTGTTTCATCTTTCTCTGTCATACCAATTCACAAGACAAGGGCACCGTATGAGTTACAGAGCTTTCCTAGCTGTTTTGTAGAAACCTATCAAACATCCATAACTATAGAAACTGTGACCGAGAAAACAAATAAGTAACCTTAAAATAACGACATTTCCGTGTTGAAATTTGTCATTTTTAACCGATTGGGCGGTCGTCTAAGAAGACTGGAACTCACAAAATCTAAAAAACAAGAAGAAGAAATTGTCATATCATATTATACAATATTGAAACACAATTCAAAAGTACTTTTTCCGCTCTTTCTTTTTACACTAAACTCAGTATTTAACTTTTACGTTACACAGTAGATATTTGTGGTTAAACAGGACGAACTATAAACGTGCGCTTCTTCGTCCGCGCTCCGACAGGACTTCAATAGTCTAGACTCTGGACCAGTTATCTCTGTAGGCTCACCATAAATATCAGGTACCTACTAGGCATCTCTGTGAAAATGAAACATCAAACAAAACACAAGATATTCGTTAATAAAAATTACATTATTTCGCATAAAATGTTTACAACTCAAATGAGTTCACCTTATACATAAAATATTACAACAGTTATAAGTAACATTCATTTAAGCTAAACTAGAAAAATCACAAGCAAATGATTATTTTACAACATTCCAAAACCTTTCGAATAGTTTATGGCCTTCACCAATCTGTCTTTTAACTTCTCTTTCGAGGAGTATTCTGGTAGCAAGAGCACATTGAAGCAAGTATGAGCTGTGGGTAATCTGTCCGAATCCGGGCCATTTTTTGCAATCACTAATTTTAATCTACTTAAACCGCCAATAGGAACTCGATCCGAACCGGTTGTGAATTGCAACAGTTTCCTTTTATCTTCTATTGAAAACGCGTGAACCACTAACCAAAAATCTTTGACAACTTGAGAATTGTGTGTATAGCCACCGTCGTATTCTGTTGAATTTTCAAGCTCATCAAAGTCAAAGTTCTAAAAAAAAAAAACTAAATTATTGAACAAAATTTGGCAATGAAGAAACATCCTACCTTGCTGCCACAGATTAGTAATTCAATTTCTTCAGGACGGAATAATTGTTCTAGCGGAGACTCGTCTACTACCATTTGAAAGCCCTTGTAAAACGCTTTAAATTGCTTTTCAACTGCCTTGTTTAGTAAAAAGTCGGCATATAAGTCCACAAACTCCTAAAAGAATTTGAAGTTTTGTAAATAATTAAGAATGAAATGAGAAAAATGATAATTTCATTGATTTATAATCCAAGAGAGACCAAATAAGGTTTTGTTTGCCCTTGAATTTTACGTCTTTACCAACTTCTCTATTGTAACTTTTGGATACTAAATTTTTGATTTTTATTCTCCGCTCAGCGAATTTTCCCTTGACACTTTGAAGATGTACGAGTAACTTATCTGATCTCAATGGCTCACTTACATATTTATTTTCTTGTGTAACAGCTATTTTATCTCCTTTATCTTTAAGATCGTAATTTATAATGGAGCCAAACACATCTTGGTAACTTATCCTAAAAGTTTGCATAAACGTTTCTTCCAAATCTGGTTGCGAATACTCTAGCATCTGCTTCAAACTATTATAGAGAACCTACATAAAAAAAAAACATAAAATAAAATTGTTATAAAATCATATAGGACTACTTACTGGATTCCAGTCAACCAAATCTTCGAAAGAACCTTTTTTTCCCATAAGTTTCCTATATAATACCATTGGAAAATTGACAGCCAAAATTATATTATTGTATATTGCTAGGCCCAATACAATTCCTATGAGGGTAAATTGCGCTGTACTTTCAAAACTGGTTGGATTGAACCACACAGTCTGTGTCTCACTTTCCAAAGTGAACATCGCATAATCAGGATTGAAAATCTCTTCAATGACTAGTTGAAAGAATTCTTTTGATACTCCTCCCTCATCTATACCTTGTTCACCTTCGAACTCGACTACAAGCTGCTTTTTGAGGTCGTTTGGGTTTTCCATCGATATCATTTCTAACTGAAATGGGAAAACTTATGTAATTTAATGTAATTACAGTCCATGTAACAAAGTAATAAAACTTCCGAAGTACATAAGTATTCCGCTCAACTATTTAAAATGTTGCACCTAGACTCTGACATCTGTATGCGCAAAGTAACAGGGCAAGTTTAGTTGACTCTTGAAGAAAACGCTGTTCGCGATATTAGTTTGCATTTAATAGAACATTGAAAGCAAACTGGTCCACTGTTAATTGATCGAATAGGCTACTAAATTTAACAGATTAATTTGTCAACATGACTTATTTGCAAGACTACGCTAAACTTTGTCATCATACTTTAGTATTTAGTCGATGAATACAATCCATATAAGTTTGATATCAATAAAACCTGTTGCTTACTCACCTCAACAAGTGCATCATCAATGATATTCTCCCTTCTAACTTTTACTCTCAGATAGGGATTTGATGGCTGACCAGTGACTGCCTGAAGTATACTAATTCTTCTCTCCGAGTACATTCTAATCCGATTGTCAAAATATAACCCCATTGTCTTAGTGGCCGGAGTCAGGATAAAAGGGTAATTCATAAAACTGAATCTTCCTGAAAAGATACCTGTATGCAAATATTTTATTTTAGTTTAGATGTATTTAATAGAAATGACACACACAAAAGAAAACCTGTTGCAAAAGCATTTGCTAATAGAAAAATCAATCAATTAATACAAAACCAGATTGCTATTTGGATATAGTTTAGTTTATTCAAAAATGTTAGTAAAGTGTCTCTATTAATACACAATAAATTTCTTACCTAATTCACTTTTGAAATTAGCAAAATCCCTATCCATTTCTACCATATCGCTTAAAGGCTCGTTGTAAAATTCCACGTAAGGTAAAAAAGGCTTCCGACAGTCTAGAACGTGAACGCCCAGCATCAGTCCCAAAGGATCCTGTGGCGAGACGCTTTTACTTAGTTTCACTGACCAACATGATTCGTCCATAGAATCAGACATGTCATCCATATTTCTTAATGATGGCGATTCTAGGACGCCGGCTAACATATTTGCATAATAGAGAATCTGAAAAATTAATTATTTATTTGTACAATTTGTAAAATTATGTTTATTATAATAGTTATGGTTAACCAATGAACTAAACAAACACACTGGAACGTGGCTGCATAATTGTTTTTATGCGAGGGTTTGTGCCAGGAAGGACAACAAACAAGAGGGATTTGCATATCTTGAAATTGTCACAAATCCAAAAGTAAAGGCATGCATAGACTCGTTAAAGTAAAAGTAAGCAATACGATAATAATAGCACTAAATATCAACATCAATATTGATAGCATATCCAGTCCTATCCAGCGAAAATACATCCACGTGTAAGAACAAAGAACAAAATACAAAAGATACGAAAACATATGCGCAATGATATGCCCCACGACAGTAAAAACTTAAATTACAAGAACACCTCCTGCTGCTTTAGAAAGCAAACAACAAGTACTCTCGCAATGAATAATAGGGGTTGGCAGCCAGTATGGTCTTCAGTTCCCGCCAAAAAAGGCAAACAGAATTGTAGTCCGTGCAGTTCACGAAAAAACGTAGCAAATTAGGTTAAAAGCAGGAAACTTGGCACAGTTGTTTTTTAGACTATTCTAAGAGATTTGACCCGCAGCACCTAAAATTTCACCCCTTAGGAGGGTGGTTCAACCCCTATTTCATTTTTAAAGGGTAAAATTATTAAAAATGTCTATGTCATCATATTATTTCAATATTGGCGTCATTTTAGACCAATTCGAATGTAAGGAATTCAAAAAAAGATATCTCATCTTCATAGGACCCAACGGTAGGGCTCTATTGCTGTCATATTTGACATAAGTGTCAAAAATATAGTTTTTTTACATTCAGACCTATTTGGAAAAAATCTATGGCGATTTATATAGAATTTGGCATGAGAAACTCGCAGCACCTCAAATTTCACTTCTCAGGAGGGTTGTTCAACCCCTATTCGATTTCAAAAGGGTTAAAATTATTGAAAATATCTATCATATTATTCCAATATTGGTGTCATTTTGGACTAATTTGAATATAAGGACTTTGAAAAAAAATATGACATCTTCTTAGGACCCAAAGGTAGGGCTCTTTTGCTGCCATATTTGATATAAATGTCAACAATATCTTTTTTTACATTCATACCTATCTGGAAAAAATATATGGCAATAGAAGATTTCATTATGAATGATGTGCTACCTACTAGTATTGGCAATAATCACACAATTGTAGCACAAAATAACTTTATTAACTATTCGTAATTATTAGTAATTTACACAATTAATCATCTTGACAATGTTGTCAACGTAACTTCTCAACGTCATACATTTTAATAATATTATATAAAACATCATCCCATGCCCGTTGTCTTAATCGCCTCCTGATCCGTGGATTACTCATCGATGCGCTGCCACAATCCCTCCATCTTTTTCAGCTTCAGCGAGGGTAGCTTCTCCGATGTTGCTGGTTTCATATCCGGTCCGTTTAGTTCGGCAGCTTGTGAAGCTGCTGAGAGAGTTGGCATTTGGCAATTCTGTTGTTATATCTGGCTGTATGTTATCGTTTCTATCTTCCTTTGTTATTTCTGGTAATTTCTTTAAACGGCTTACGTGTCGTTTTAGATTTTGACCATTTTGTCCAGACAATGTAGCCTCATTTCCTTTTTTAACAATCACAGTTAACTCGTCATTATTAAATCGGGTTGTGAGTTTATGTGGGATTACCAAGTTCTGAACTAAAACTTTGTCTCCTTCTTTTATGTCTGTTATTTTTGCGTGTCTAGCCTTGTCTTCTTTTTCTTTTCCTTTGAATTTATTCACGAAGTCATTATCGTGAGCTTCTTCATCTCCTGGTTAATTAACTAAGTCTGCTACTGATGGAAGTTTATCTCGAATTAATCTATTAAATAGTAGTTCCGAAGGTGCTTTGCCGGTAGTTCCATGGGGCGTAACATTATACATTAACGTAAATTTTTGTAGCTCAGTTTTATAGTTTAACTTGCTTGCGTGCGAAATCTGAAGACGTTTTAGAATAGCCCGATTCATATTCTCCACTTCTCCATTTGCCTGAGGCCAATATGGCGGTGTGTGTATCAAATCTATGTTGTTGTGTAGGCAAAAGTTCCTAAACTCTTCGCTAGCGAATTGTGGTCCGTTGTCCGCTCTTATTGATTTTGGAATTCCTAGCCGGGAAAATATGTCTGACAAATGGTTGATGATAATAGAAGAGGTTGTAGATTTAAGAAACATGATTTCTTGGTATCTCGAATAATAATCCACGATTACCAACAGTTGTTCGTGATTTGGTAAAGGTCCCATAAGGTCTATGGCCACGCATTGCCACGGTCCATCTGGGAATTTATGCCTGGTCATTGGTGGCGGCTTATCTGGTAAGCTCACTAACAAACAATCCCGGCAATTTTTGACAAATTTTTCGGTAGCTTTGTCCATGAGAGGCCACCAAACTTTAGCTCTTAGTCTTCTTTTCATGACTGTCTCCCCTGGATGACCTTCATGCGCTAATTGCAGTACCTGTTCCCTCAACGACTGAGGGATGACTAATCTAGTTCCTCGTAACATGACGTGTCCCACTGTTGTTAATTCAAGACGAAATGGATAGAAAATATTTTTGTTTGTGGGTTCCCAACAATCTTTGTTTATTTTGTTCACTGCCTCCATTATTTGACTATCGAGTTGACTTTCTGCTACTACCTGAGATATCTTCATAGCTTTTGGTGAATGCCTCTCTATCACGGTGAATACATGATGTTCATTTTCTTTATCGAATGACGGTTCGTCTTTTATCTGGCATAGTCTGGATAATGAATCGGCTATATTTTGTTTCCCGGATTGGTACACAATTTTGAATTTGAATGACTGAAGTCTAAGAACCCATCTTTCGATTCTGGCTGGGGGCTTGGACGATGGTTTAAATATAGTCTCTAACGGTTTATGGTCTGTAACCAATTCGAACTCTAAGCCTGATAGGTAATAATAAAAACGCTCCACTGCCCAGACTAAAGCTAAGCTCTCTTTCTCTGTCTGGTAATACCTCCTTTCTACAGAGGAGAGACTTTTGCTGGCAAAAGATATTACTTGTGGCGTATTTTTGTTGTTAAACTGTAGCAGAACTGCTCCTAATGCCACCGGACTTGCGTCGGCCACTAATCGCGTTCTTAATTTGGGGTCGAAATAGGATAAGGTGGGAAGGCTTGCTAGTGAATGCTTGAGTTTGTCGAAACTTTCTTGCTGTGCTTTTGACCAATGGAATGTCTGATTTTCTCTGGTTAACTGTCGAAGAGGTTCTGTTATAGTGCCCAGTTCTGGTATGAACTTACCAAGGTAAGTGACGAGACCCAGAAAACTTCTTGTCTCCTCCCTTGTTATCGGTGGTCGGAAGTCCAAAACAGTTTTTACTTTTATTTGATCTGCTTCAATACCTTTGCTAGAGAGTTTATGGCCCAGGAAATAAAGCTCTTGTACTTTCTTAACACACTTTGCGTCGTTTAATAACACATTATTTTTTGAAAATACATCCAATACCTTTTTTAGGTACACGTCATGTTCAACTTCAGTACTTCCATAAATAATCACATCGTCTATATAATTAAGACAGGTTCTACAAGAAGACAGCATTTCTTCGAATATTCGTTGGAAAATTTCCGGAGCTGAATTTACACCGAACATTAATCTTTTATAACGAAACATGCCTTTGTGACATATAAACGTTGTGATCGGACGGCTTTCCTCGTCAAGCTCCAACTGGTGATAGGCATTTTTAAGTCCAATCGTGAGAAGTATTTAGCATCTCGAAGCTTCGTCATAAAGGACTCAAACGTAGGTAGAGGATAGTTTTCCCTTATAATTGCTTCATTCGCCCGCCGCATGTCTACACAGATGCGGATATCATCATTCGGCTTGAAGATGACAACTATTGGTGAAATCCACTCACTTGGTTCAGTTACTTTTTCGATAATATCAGAAAGCAATGCCTCTTCGATCTTCTTCTCGACTTGCTTTTCGACTGAAATAGGTACTCTTCTTACCGGTTGTCGCACTGGTTTCACGTAGGGGTCAATTGTTAATTTAACCTTAATATTTTTAATTTTAGAAAATGATTTTGTCTCCACAATTTGATTTATGTCTAAACCCAACTTCAAAATTCCCAACTGTTTAGCGGTATCTTTGCCTAATATAGATATATCCCCTTTATCTATGACATAAAAAGATGTTATGATTTCCTCCCTGTTTTTTAATGCGATTGTTGTCTCAAATTTATGTCGTACATCTAATGGTTTCCCTGAGGCGTATCCTTTCAGATTATTTCGAGGTTTTGAATCAACATCCCAAAACACAGCGTTTTCTTTCGTAAGGTTCTTTCAGTCATCCCCTTTCACAATATTAACTTTTGATCCCGAGTCTATTAATAGGGTCATTGGTACCCCTCCTATGTTGCACTCTATTAGGTCATCGTCGTTCTCTGCTCGGCAGTGTTCAGTTATTTTAAAACACTCGAAATTTCGAATGGCTTCGTTTTGCTCCGTTTCTTCATTCTCACCTTCTATAAAATTGATTCTGGGTCCAGATCTTCTGCGTTTGTTAGGCGGCTCGTATGTAAATGGTTTATTATTGAAGCTTTTTGTTCCCAACCTCGTTTTACACATAGATGAATAGTGGCCAATAAATCCACATTTGTGACATTTCATGCTGATAGCAGGGCATTCTTTATCTAAATGATGGAATTTTCCACATCTGGTGCATTGATTAGTATTGCCTTTGTTGCTAAATTGAATTTTATTCACAGCAAATGAAGTACTAGGCTCCACGTTCACAGAATCCATAGCTTTAGATTGACTTCCAATTTGCTCATGTACTTGACATAATTCCAGAATTTCGTCCAGTGGTCTCTCTTTTTCCAACAATTTCCTTTTCAATTCGATAGGAGCCCAGCTATCGATGATCTTATCTTTGACGTTAATTTCCAACGCTTCTTGAGCAGATTTCCCAAATGAACACTTAGCAGCCTGG